CTTGCAATTTTTAGCAAAAATATAGATACATAATCAATTAGTTGATCTTCCATAGCATTGCAATAGAGACACCAAAGTGAAACCTTGCAATAATTATTACTCCAGGTAGAAGCAAAGCTAAAAATATCTTCACGTGCATAATCACAAATACAGTCAAGAAATTCTGGGGATTTGGTAATTAGGTCCAAAGAAAATGAATCTGGGCTATGACTCATATTGAAATTCGATTTTAGATGGGATTGGATCAAAGTCTTCTTCTAGAGAAGATTCATTAACTGATCTATATATACCATGTGGAATATTATTTCTTGAAATTTTAATTCCTTCAATTATGGGTTCTTTATCTTTTCTTCAATTTTAGATCGAGGAAGTAGATTTTCTAAAAAGTGTCTAATAGTCTGATGAAATTTTTGATTAATCAGAGGATTTTAAATAATTTCTAGAATTAGTTCTAGCAAATTTTTTCATAACATTATCTTGGGACGATTGAGCGATCTGAGTTATTTCTTCATGTATTTCTGATTTTTTAGGAATCACAGACTCCAATTACCAGGTTTCTGAAAACTAAATTTCTGATCATTTAATTGTTTTAGGGACTTCAATTTTATTTTTAACCGTGTTGGTTTCAATTAAAGTTATTTGACCTTTAAGGTTGAGAAGTTAAGCTTCAGGACATAAAGTATTCATAACTTTATAATAGGCTCTATAAGCAAACACAATTATATCTACGCCATCTTTATAATTGTAACTATAAATTTTAATATTGCATATTAAAACATCTAAAATATTTTTATTTGTTAAAGATACATAAAGATTAGGAAAACAGTTAAAATAAACTGGACTAGTACTTAAGCTGGATTACATAACTCCCATTAAAGATTGATCAAAATTAAGACATCTAACATCTCTTGGTGCAAACATAAAAGAGACATTTAGTCTTTGAAGAGTTAAGGGTTTTAAAGCAACTTGAATTAATCCAATATGCAGAAATTTATAATTGTTATCTTGAGCCTTTAACATTTCTCTTTCAGTTAACAGTTATAAAATATCTCTATTCTGATTAAGAGGAATACTCCTTTCAATCGTTTTGATAGTTAAACTCGATTTAAAATCAAAAGTGCCAATATTATAGATTTTCTTAGTGGGGGTACTGGGGTATATCCCAGTTCTGCAATTTATTTTCAATATCAGAGAATTTTATTTCTTCCATATTTTTAACATAATTATCTTTATGATTAAATTTAAATTTCAATAGGTTTAAAGTTATAGTGGTATCTCAAATGTTGTTCTGTTGACTTATATGTTTCACTATTACCTTCTTCTAATTGCTACTGTAATTCATCTTTTAATTCTACTACAATACTACTACTATGACTTTTGTTACAATAATCCTGGTATAATAATCTTCTCAGTTTCCTATTGTTGGCAAAATCATGCTATAATGATTTTTCTCAACATTCTATTTTTTGCAATCAATTCTATCAACACTCGAAGGGAATACAAATGGCCTAACACTCCTATCACATGAAAAACGACCTAACATCATCCCTAATACGCGACATTGAAGGCAAAATCATAGGAAGCAACAAAGAATCATCATCATAACAAAATTTTAACAAACAATAAAAGCCCAAAGAAACTTTATTATAACACAATTATTTTCACAATTTCATAGCAACTGTAGTTTAACAAAATTAAATCACAATTACATGAGCAACAAGAATTGGTAATAGATCTGCATATAAATCAACATAATAAATTTAAGCTACCATCCAAATGGCTCTGATAACAAAAAGGGGGAGGATCGGGATACAAGCGCAAAATTTAAGCGAAAGCTTTTATTTAATGCAAACTTTATGTATAAGACACACTTACAGTAGTAGTGGTTGAAGGTGAAAGATGGAGGTTTTTACAAGAGAGGAGGATTCACAAAGGGTGTAAGGAAGGAGTAGGTGTAGGAGGCTGTGTAGGAAGTGGTCAAGGAGAGAAGGAATATTTATGAGATGCGGTCGAGATGCGGTGCTAGTATGAGATGCGGTGCTCCACAGGTCGGGCCTACATCTCCTTAAATAGAAGCCAGACATGAAATCCGAATTTCAAAACTATCATATACTATTCACAACTTTATATCGTTCATAACTTTAATAATTTACATTAACGTCATTGCATACGTCATAAATATTATACACTATTCACATTCTTTATAGTGATGTTAGGATGTACGTCACTTCTTCACATAGTGACGTCAGGCCGTGCGTCACTTCTGCATATAGTGACGTCAAGGCGTACGTCACTTCTTCCGTGTCGACTTTATCCGAGAAATCAGTTTTATCTGATCATTTCCTGTAAAGCAAATACACAGCATATTAGTGTTGTCATCATGAAGGTTTATCTCCATATCATCATTTAGAAAATCTTCATTAATAGTAATGTCACCTTTAAGAGGGGTATATCATCAAGAAGACATAAAGTTTTAAGTCTTGAACCGTAGTAGGCAAGA